TCTTTGCATGTGCCTAGTACTTATGTGGGACATACGCACATGCAGTGGTTTAGCAATTGATTCAAAATGGCCGACTGGCAGCCATCTTGTTTTTTGAAAATGTTGTATTTTGGACATGCTTTGTCAGTTGTCATTCAAACTTGGTACATAGATTATACATGTTAGGATACATGTCCATGACGATTTATTTCGCAATTGGATCAAAGATGGTCGACTGGCAGGCATCTTGTTTTGTTTTTTTATGCAGTATCTTGGAAGTGCTCTGTCAGTTTTCATTCAAATTTGGCACATACATGTACTTTATACATGTTAGGATGCATGTCCATGACAATTTGTTTCAAAACCTGGTCAAGGATGGCCGATTGACAGCAATCTGACTTTTTGGCCTTACTACTATATTTCCACAATTTATGTACCATTTTCATTCGTATTTGGCACATACATCATACATATCAGTGTGTTTCATAATCAGATCAAAGATGGCCAAATATTTTTATTTTTGGCCATATTACTACTACACGGAACACGTGTTTTGATGTAAATAAACTATCTGTTGTATACGCCACTTGGAACTCAAGTTTCAAGGACACGCTCGCGACAACCCCCCCCCCCCTGCTTTAATATGACAAGCACAAAGAGAACTTTCAAAAATTTAATGGGGACTGTGTCATTTTCAATGACTTGTTTCTTATTGTTCAGTTTTGATAGGTATTTTTATTAAATACTTATATCTGCTTGATTTGAAATGCTATAATCTTGGGATGATTGACGAATATGTCCTTTTGCTTTTTATCAATTATCGATAACAATAGTTAAATATCGATTATATGCTTAAATATAAATTAAATATAGATTAAATGTATGTAGCAATCTTTCTCTGACCCCCCTAATATTTTAGGGTTTGATATTTGTGTACTGAGATAACGAATCTCCTATCTGGAATTAATGCGTAAAATGTAAATCTAAGTGTTTTAAAATATGATAGATGTTCGTCTTCACTCTTAAAACACTTTTATAATTAAACACATTAATTGTTTTCTTAAAATAGCAAATGCGTTATTTTACCAACACTACTGTCTTAAAATTAAGCATTTTTACTGTTTGTGAGTCAATCTAACATTAAAAACACTTAAAGTGTTTAATATCTGCATAATTATGAAAAAATTGTACATGATGAAAACACTTTTATTAAACATTCAATAATGAACATTTTTTAAAAGTGTTTTCACTAGAAGCACGTGTTAAAATGTGCTCATTGTAACAACACTGTTAAAAGTGCTTTTACAAAAAAAAACACATTTTGAAAAGTGTTAAAATGATTTCACCAGACACACATTTTGGAAATGTGATTGCACTAGAAAAGAATAATAACAATCGCATGAAGAAGTGTTTTTTTTTTCAAACTAGTTAAGATTTTTGTACAGCTGAAAAAGTGTGTTTACTGCAATTAAAACTTTTCGTGAAACTGTAGAAACCCAAACAAAAAATAACATCTTTGAATTATTTCTTCATTGATATAAATGAACGTTCCCAATCTCTAGTTGTCTCGAATGCTGCCTACCCGAGCACATCAAATTTCTGTGAAAAACAAAAATTAGTGAGACAAATAAAGAATCATTAATTTCAGAGAAACTTCTTACTAGAAATAAATTTACATTATTTCAATTCTGTTCTCACTCAATCCATGAGTCAGCGTATGTGCACTATATCCATGTTATTTCATTCACCTTTCACTTTTCTATCCATCCAATGGCCTGATTGCTTACCTTCACCACTTTTAAAATCGACCCTCAAATGGGCAGTGTGGTATTTTATTTAAAAGTATAATTACCTAATAAAAGTTCTTCTGGTACAGGGGACAATGAACCAATATTAATCAATAATAGCAGGTCGAAATTAATTTCCAATATTAGCAAAATCATCTCACTCCAATATTTTCTCTTAAATCTAAAAACTATATAATATTATCAAAATCTAGTGAGTAATGTTCAATTAATTATCATTATTGTTTCTAGCAATGCGATATTTGAAGCTGAATTAGGTGATGTAATTTATTATTCTTATAATATAATGCACAAGTAAAATGACCACACACTATTAAGACGAGTTGAACTGCACGTTCCTGTTAGATTCTGTATAATATTATTTGGTAACTAAGACCGTGTCTTAGAGAAAAACTATGCAGTATGGAATTCTCTGGTCCTGTAAATGCATGAACATGAGCTAAGTCAGTTATAGTACCAACTTGCACATAATAGCATGGATGAAGGTCGCTGCAAATGATAATGCTGAACACAACTGACGACGCTGGCTCTATCGAGTACACTTTTCACATGTAAATACATTTGGTCCACGTTTTTATTGCTTCTTTAACGAATATGCCATCTGTCCACATGTCCCCTAAAGTATAATTCAATCTTGGAATGAACGTGCGCACGACACATTGTCGGTTACATAAACACGCAATGTGTTCATCGTGATTACCATCGTTTACAAAAAGTATCTCAAAAAAGGTCGCAACTGAAATTATTTTTCATTAGTTTTCATATTGTATTGTATTTATGACGCTTCTCAAAAGAAATGAAATGGTTGTGTTATATTAGAAACTTACAGGGGCTCGTTTAGATTATAGGCTAATTCGTGCAATTCGTGTATGATAATCACCATATTAGATGGAATTAACTTTGAGACTCCGTAAATAGAATAATAGCTATCAAGAAAATGAATCTATTCATTAGATTAATTACCGCCTGTCTCGCGCTGCGTCACCCAGTTTACTAACTCAAGCATATACAATTGTCCTGTATATTATGAGTTATGTAGAGTCGGTATTTTAGATTGAAACATTGCATGCATGTTTGTTTTCTGAAGTACTTCAAAATAAAACAGTTTGAAAGATGAGTGTTTTGGTTACTCTGAAGAACTTGCATACATGTCTATAGGTAAACACTTATGAAACATGTATAGTATAGTGTTTTAGGTTGAAACATCATTGGTGTTTTTGTTTTTTGAAGTTTTTTAAATTCAACAAATGAAATGTTTTTTTTTTTAAATGCCACGTGAGATGTGATTGGAACCACAACCTAGTGACTTGATTTCCAGTTGAAAAGACTATATAAGAGTACATACAATTAATTTGTGCACCACCTGTTGCTGGAGATTGTACTGATATGTTGTTAATAGGTCGCTACATTCTAAAACATAAAACTATTTCCTGAGGGTTATGACATGACCATTTCAGTATGCGTTGAATTATGTAACGTAGCCCAGGCTATAGTTTATTTTTACTCAATTTTGTCAGCATTGGTTGCATTAATCCATAAATGTTCTATCAATAAACACTTTTTTTTAAAAAGGTGCTTAATTCCATTAATAAATAGTTTAATTACTCCTACAAACACATTTTTAAAAATACTGAAACAGTACTGCGTCGATAGAAAATACAGATGTTCTATACATGTTTTTTTTGCTTTAAATTAAATCGGTATGTTTTAATGAAAAAGATGAAAGTGATCTCAAGATTTACAGTTTATGTGAAATAAATGTATATTGTTTAATTATTAACAAATTTTCATGACTGCAAACATATGCATTATTCTGAACCTTCCATGCCTACAGTTGTGTTGGAAGTTTCACTCATGTTTCTTCTCTTATTTTCCCTTTCATAGGAAAAAGTGGTGACTGGAAGAATTATTTCACTGTTGCTCAAAACGAAGCATTTGATAAAATGTACCATGAAGAAATGAAAGGATATGAAGATTTTAAATATGAATTTTGAACAAACACATCAATGTATTATAATGTATTATGGTTATCCCACCCCTGCCGTCGTCGATATAATTGCCTAAATTACATAATTACAAAAACGATATGAAAGAATTGGAGAGTGCTGGCTGTGATTATGCATTATAAAAAATAAAAAATCAGATCGGATTTCAACTAAAAAGAATGGTCTAAGAATAATCTACACAATTCTTTTATTTCACTATTAATTAAACTATAATTATTACTTTTATTATAAAATTGAGGTGACATGATATATAGAGATACAACCAAAAGTGTTAAAACGTAATAATAATTACGTAACTATTACAATCTTGCCTATAAATAACAAATGAATGAAATAAAAACTGAGACGTTACCAAGCTTTAACTGGGTATTTTTTTTTGTGATTGGAAGGCATCGAAGAAGTCGTCGATTTATTGACATAAACATGTCAGAAGTGTGGATCCAGCAGATGATGCTTGATTATGATGATTGTTTAACTTGATTGACATCTTGTCAAACGAGTACTTTAACATATTGAGAAATATTGCTCTGGAACAGCATTAATTATAACAAAATTGCCACCAGTTGGCTGTTTTGAATACATATATATTTCTATAACATGATGTATAATGAATATATAAAATTTGAACATAATCAGTCAAAGCATTTCAGAGATATGGCACTAGACGTGCATTCATTAAAACAAAATGGCCGCCAGTCAGCCATTTTAATTCGATCTGAAAAATAAAATGACGTGATCAAGGTCCCATAATGCCCAATGTTTGTACCAAGTTTAAAAAAATCCATCGATAAATGCTTGATTCTGATGATTTTTTTAGCACAGAATTGCCACCATTCGGCCATCTTGAATCAGATCGTGAAACAAATTGATGTGCATATGTATAATATGTGTGATGTACGTGTGAAGCTTAATTGTGATTGGTTCAGGCATGTCTAAGATACAGGTCTGGAACCATGCACGGACGCACAATCCATAAGGCCAAACAAAAATTGTTTTGTTGCCCTCGGCGACCGTCCGAAAAATATGAAGTAGCGGGTCGCGTTTTTTTTTTTTTTTTTTTTTTTTTTTTTTCTTATCTTTTAATTTTTTTATTTTTAATAGGCCCAAATACTGAAAACTCACCATTTTAAGCAGTAAAAAAGTGTCTACTTTAAAAATTAACAATCCCGGACCGTTGTTTGATCCCCAGGGTCCCCGGGGGGATAAGTGGCGACTTTGAACCTCGAGTTGATCTGTATTTAAATACAAAAGACTGAAAGAAACACTTTTATTTTTGTGTTTAATATCTAGCATGCGTTTGATTGATTCTCATATACCTCGGCTATTCACGATACCCTTAGTTTTCATGAGTTTAAAAAAAAAATCGACCCAATAATCCAATTTTTCAGTTTTCCGACTTGAGAGCAACAAACGTTTTTTTGGGCCTAAGTCCCCGTTTTCGGGCTGCGTCCGAGCGGGAACCAATAATGAAACAACAATCTGGTTTTCTACACTTATCTGATTGACAAATCATGGAGATCATACAACTAATATAAATGTCTCCATTCTGTTCACTTATTTCTACGTTTAACAAATGTTTTATTTTAGGAAAATAACAACAGCAACGAGGATAGACGTTTCACAGCAGTCCAGGGCGCCACCTACGCCAAATTGTCAGGCTAATGAATTACCGTATTCGCCTAAAGTATATCTAAGCTTTCAGATGATGTATAGGTTATGATAGTAACTTTTAGATGTCTGAATCACAGTTTTTTAGCACGTTTTACCCTTGTTGCTACTTTAAATTGAAATATATTAAATGTTAATACAAATGTTAATTTTCCTATTTTAATCAACTTGTGTGATATGACACCGAATAAGAGCTATATGTATTACAAGAAACACCCAGTTAAGTTGAATTATGATAATGGACTGGTCATTTTCTTTTGCCGGAGGTGCCGGGAATCTGATTTCGCAAAAGCATGAAAAGACTTTGCCCCCACCCCCTCAAAGCAAAAAACCAAACTCCCTCACATTATCTGAAAATACAGTAACCCCCCCCCCCAAACTCCCTCACATTATCTGAAAATACAGTAAACCCCACCCCCCAAAAAAACTTGGATTTATGTTAGTTGTTCGAAGGATGATGTTCGAAGTGAGTAGCTTTCGCTGTGAGTAGGACTTCGTCACAATATAATTACTGCGATTACTGCTGTGTCACGTGTCCGACTTATCTCTAGATGTAGTTCATGCTGTCTCACTGTTTTCACTAATACTGTAGGTTAATCCCGAGGATATTGAGAAGGAGCAATGCAAACCGAGAGATCGAGCAGATCCGGGTACGCGAATTACGGTCCCCAACCAAGCCAATGCTGATTCAAATATGACCTTTCACCTCAGCATGACTGGTGACGTCAGAGATATTAGACGCCATATTTGTGTGACGTTGAACACACCCTGTGTTGAAAGTTCGGTTTTTGAAACTGCTTTTTACCGCAAAACTTGACATTTTCGACTCAAGATGATGAATACATTTGTGGTGAGTTGACCTTACTAGTCAAGTGTTTAATACAGCGGTGACAGCTTTTAGCACAACGAACGAGTTACGCTAAATGAGCGGAACATCGAAATTCGGCTACGGATACTGCTACTGCTCATGGTCTGACATTGTTTTGTTTTTGAGAAATCGGCGGATAAGCACCATGGATGTCAAATCGATGTCTGTAATCCAAGCTCATGTAGAATATCATACACATATTGTCTGAAAAGATTAATTTTAAAAATATCAATAATTGTTTTTCTGTTTTAATTTTTTTTTTTATTGTACAGCTATATGCAAAGTTTTCAGACACTAATTATCAGAATATGTTTGAGAAAACGGTCAAATAAATTTGGTCGATTTATATATATTTGATATTTTTATCGTTGATTTTGAAAAATAAATAGTTTAAAATATTGAAAACAAAAACAGTGCTATAAAATGTACAATAAAACTAACAACATTAATCTTATCTATTTTTGTGAATTTTGCGAAAAGTTTTTTTAGTGAAAATTTCACCAAGGTCCTTAAGACACTATGTGATATTGGCTTGCATGAATGTAACCCCCCACAATTTCTGATTTGTGAAGTAACAGAAATTGTACTGTGTTCTATATACATGTAGCTGATAATTTGCATCATCTTCTAATTAAATATATTTGAGGTTGCTAGGCAAAATTTTTAAAAATAGTCATATTGTTTGCTAAACATTATATGATATGTAGAACACATGCATACATTATTGTTGCTGAATTCAAACACGCACTGCACTGAGACTGTGATGCAGAAACGTATTCATTTTTTTGCAGGCACATCCAAGTATACGAGTTAAAGGCTCTGAAAATAACTGGAATCCAGTACAGTGTGTAAATGTGGAGTGTTATCATAACACTAAAGGCAGTCATATGCACTGTCCTTTCTGTGTTAAAACTGAATCGTATCATGATCCGGTTATTTTACGTGCTCATTATAGAGTGAAGCATGTAGACAAGAGTTTGGAATTTGCAGGTAAGTATCGTTTTACAATGAGTTTGGATGAGAATGCAAGATTACTGTACAGAGTTCTCTCCCCAGAGACTTTTAAGCATTGTGAAGTTTTTTCTTTAAAATTAGCAAATAATATATTCTCGGTGAAACAAAGACATCTTTATAAATTCTTATATATTTCACAATTCAAACTAAAAAAGTTTCTATTGGCTGATAAATAAATATTTATTAAGATGAAGGGCCTTCATTTGATGTGAATATGTGACTTTTTTTTGCTTACTTACCTCGTAGCTAAATGCACTAATTAAAATTAAAACCCATTAAATATTTAAAGTCAACAATATTATTAAGGTAAAGCTTTATGACAATCTTATAGAAATGCTTATATTTATTGGAGATTAATTTATTTCTATCATTGTAAGCATTTTTTTTTTTATTTACTATAGTATGAATTGTTTCCTTCTCCAAACAGTGAATTTTAAAAGCTAATGAACATCACTGCAACATCAAATGCACTAAAATAGTGAATATTTCTCTTTTTTTCAGTTATTCATCAAATTAATAAATCTCTCTCATAAGCAAAATTAACAGTAGAAGCTTGGAAGAAAGAACTTGTATCTTACTTCTCTAGACTATTATCGCATTATAGAAACAATTCTCATATGTTCTTTTTCATTGTGAACCCAACAATCTGACTAATTCTAATAATAAGAATTATCTTTACAACTCTTGATCACTGAACAAGCAATTCAGCCAATAAAAGAACATCTTACAAACAGGCTTCAATCTCATGGTGCTAACTTGTAGATTGTACATGATTAGATACAGATATTGAAAGATTTAAATAAAATTTCCTGTTTGAAACTAATTTTAATTGTGCTTTCATGATCAGGGAAAAAAATAACTGACAGCAAATAAAAACAAAACTAAAATATATATATAAATATGGAAAAAAAAATCATGTTTTAATCAGTTTCATTGCGTATTCGTTTTATATACATTTAATTACTTTTTTTGCTCCCCTCTCGCGATCACTACCTCTGCTGCTCTCTCCTTCTCATTCAGCGCACCTCTCGACCTGAACTACCGATATTATCCGGATATTCATTTTCCAGGTTTAAAAATTCTTCGTTGCTGCGAACAGTGTGATATTGTTGGGGCTATAAAAGGAGAGAAAAAGTTTAAAGGAGCTCACTGGCATTGTTATAGATGTCGCAATGGGTTCAACAGAAGAGATGAGGCTCTCAAACATTACAAGACTCACTTCCGTAATCCACATACTACCTTCCAGATACAGGTAGCTCATGTAAGTTAATCACTTTCAATTACTCGGCTTTTAATATATCTAATTAGAAACTTCACCTAATTGTAATTATTCTATCAGTTTATCCTCCCTAATTTCCTCAGAGGTTACACGAACGAAAACTTGTTCAAATTTGAAAGGAGTACATATTACACAAATTAAGTGATGCAAATATTGTGTTATTGTGGGCATGAACTTGGCTCTCTCTGGAATTTGCTAGGTAATAGTAAATTTACTAATCAAGAAAAAAAAGTATTAGTAAACTTTGTCTGGAAACTGCAGAGCATTTTCCCGCGACCGAGCACAACGGGAAAGAGAGAAAGAGAGGGAGGTGTCCCCTCTGTCGTCCGCCGAAAACAAGAACAGCATGCTGAAAATGGTGCTTGCTGGTGCAACCTGCGGTCTAATTTTGTGTGTAATTTCATGACATCAAATTAGGCAGTCTGCACCACAAAATGTACCATTTATGATGGTACAACAAAACATCACAACAAAATATGCAATGTAGACACCAGAACCTTTATTTGAATAACTAATAGTATTAATTAAACATATTCATGATAAGCTCACATTGTTAACAGTGGGGAAAATAGTCATCATTCAAAAGTTCACTAAGTTCACTGCCTAGAACACAAGTCATCCTGTGAATAAATTTTCACGGGAAATTTCTCAGAAAAAAACTCTATGCCAATCAATATTATTATGAAGTAATCTCCCGTGTCCATCATGCAAACCCGCATGTTGACGTTTATGACGGCACAAAATGACTATTTATTTTTATCGAAATGTCTGAATTAAAGTGAAAAAGTAACTAAAGTAACTTTCGGCCTTGTAACTCGATCTCAATGCTAAGAATGCCCGGTAAGAATGTTACATAAATTATAGTATTTTTTGATCAATTCGCTAACATTGTCTCACCTTCCATTAGCTGTGGAACCTATGTTGCTGACCTCATTATTTACGTGACAGACACTGGCCGGCTGGCTGGTATGTTCGACATACAACAACAACAATAAAATCAAGACGTCCGAATGAAATTGGTAGGGCAAAATTAGATTGTATGTTGCACCAAAGAGCTACGGAACCGCAGCTAACCTTCCATTATTTCTGAAATCGTGCTGCAGTACGATCAACTTTCCATTTCTTGGTGCTGTCAGGGTTAGGACACCCATGGGTTTCTGGTTCTGAACACGATTTAGCGGTTTCTCCATCTCGTCGTGAAAAATACTCGTCGAGCAGTTGTCTGCTCCTTTTTGACGTAGTCTCCATTTTCAACAAATAAACAAATCACGTGTTTGATAAGGGCGACATGAAACCGTCCCATACTGAGAGTAAAGTTGCGGGGTATCTTGAAACACATGTCGACTAAACTACGCATGTGCGATGACACCAAAATAACTTTAAAGTGGAAAAATACATTCAGTGGCAGTTCCGTGTTGATCGCGATCACCATGTAACAATTGTTGCAATCTTAGAAGTAACGGGACATTGTTTAACTTTAAAATGGCAATCACTCAAATCGTAACACACGTGATGATCACAGTCGAGTCTTGACAATTAAATGAGGGCGATTTGTGAGGGTATTTTGTACAAAATGTGTTCATAAATCCTACTAATAGATATTTATTTTGTTCGTAAATCTTGTCCAAATTTTGTAATTTACAGCATGAATTTGTTGAAATGTATTCATGATGCCAGCGCAGTCCCTCTATATAGATGTCTCTTGGAGAATTTACATGTTTCACTGATTTGTGAGAGGCAATTGAATTTGAATCAGGATTCAAATCAAAGCATACTGAAATGACGTTCATTTTTTTTTGTTATCGGTAGGATATTAACAGCAATGCATCATGGGAAAATGCCATGGGTGGTGATGCGGTGTTAACCAACACTACAACTCAAGGCATGACAGATGAAGTCACTATACATCCGGTGTTAACTGAGGCTGTTATGACAACTACCACCACTCCCTGTACAGATGAAGACATGAATAAAGCACATGATGCCACAGCAGCCACAATATCTGCTAATGGTTTAACTGTGGCTGCTACAGAGACTGTCAACTCTGGTAGGTGATGGAAAAAGTTTTGCCTTCAGTGTTCTCCCCAGGCCAAAACAGCAACGCGGGCCGCGACGCGATCGGATTTGCCCGCGAAGCTAAGTGTTTCCTCTGTGATGCTATTATTTATCCCGTGATCTGATTTCTTCAAGCTTCAGTCTCTCACAGACTGTAAAGTTTCCTGGCTAACTAGTTAAATCTACAAATGCATTGTATAAACTCCAATTTCCCAGGATAATTCCCTGTTGTTTCTCATTGGTTGGATATCGTTTTAAAAAACAAAGCAGTTCTATAAAGACAAAGCCGTAAGCCCCGGTGTCAAACGCTCTTTGCCAAACGTATATTCATATGCAAATGATATACATGTGTAGTCGCACTTGGGGTCAAAAGCCACATGTTTCCGGTGTGTACGAAACGTATTTTCATTATTATTTTTAGAAATGTAGTCTAAAAAGTTTTGATTTTTGTCAGTATTTTTGATATTGTATTTGTTTTTTGGGATCAATATGTGAAAAAATATATATTTATGATTGTGAATCCAAGATGGTGTCACCCACGCAAGATCCAGTGAGCGTGAACTTCTCACTTGGATCGCATATCGTGCTCAGATTCGGATGAATTAAGTGAAGCATAATTGAAAATAATATATTTATCAAGAAATCGGGAATTCTAATCAAGAAACGCATGGAAATTGGAGTGACACTTGTGTTATTTCTTGGGAGAAAAGCCTCAATTTTACGTGGTATAACAATGGCGACAATTCGTAATTCAGACGTTGTCTCGAATTGTTCACAATTGTGTTGAACAGACAACATCGATGATTAAAAAAAATACATAAAGATGGATAATTGCAGCCAGAAAAATTATTATTGCTCGAACATAGTAGCGTAAGTATCATGACTCGTAACAGTTGTTGTACTTAACCGGAAAACAACAGAAACAGAAGACAAGCAATGAGAATAATCAACCCAATGTTTAATTTACCAGGACTGAACAGGGTTTTGATAAAGTTGCTGATTGCTGGGCCAAGCAAAGAAACAGAAAACTCAGTATTTCTGCAGGACATTTGCAATACTAAACATGCAGTGCAATAATTGTATACAGATTGTACATAAAATAAATAGAAAAAAAGGAAAAAAACTGGTTTTGTTTTATTTCCCCACATGACAAACAATATGTTAATTTATGCTAATTATATGCTAATATTGTGCAAATTAGCCGTGACTCTATGAAAAATTTCTGGGGAGAACACTGCCCTTCCAAAAATATTTCTCCTACAGTAATTTACATTTTTTTTTAACATGGTGCATCTATGGCAACTTTGCCCATTGTTTTTAACTATTGTGTGTTTTTTTACTTCCATGTGCGAAGGACTCTGGGATTTTGGGAGTCTGGGATTACATTTGTTTTGCCTAATTTTCATATTAATTAGCCCATATTTAACTTTACAACCAATATCTCAACCACTCATCAGATTCAATGAAACACGGTTCTGATTACTTCAGGGTTGGAATCTATGCATATTTACTACTTGATATTAGTTTCATGTGTGTTTTTTATTATGCACAACTGTAATGTACTAAATACTGTAATTGGTACTTTAATTTTGTTGTATCTGACCAAAATTAAGTCATCATATATGATCATTATATACCCTATATATAAAATATCTTTTTGAAATTCAGTTATCATTGATTTTTCATCGCCGAAGTGATTTACATCGTCAATTTTGGTTCCCGAGCATATCTAATAAATAACCTATCTAACTGCTGGACTGAATTGATGATATTATCAAAAAATCATAGAAGATTTTGAGAAAATCAGTCGTTTTTGGCATTGACTTTCGGCATTTCGCTTGGAAATGCAAGGGCGATAAGACTCTATTTTCAAGGATGCAGGTTGTTTGGATCGGACTTTTAGTTTTGCTTCGGGTTCGTTATAAATCTAGAAACATAACAACATTGTTTTCGTACAGGATTTTGATATGCCAATCGGACAATTTTACCAATTTCTTACTGGAGGGTCCCCTGTATAAATGGTCCTCTACTCTCCAAAAATTGACAATGGTACTAACCCAGAATAGACTTCCTGTTTAGCAATGAATTTGACAACATTCCCTTGAGCGTTTTAGGATAGTGGGAATATAAGAAAATAGATGGAAATACCAGTTACATCACTCATGAAGATTGATGATTCGATTGCTGGCCGGGATAGCAGTATTTAGTGTTCATTTCTATGCAATAGGTCTACACTTGTCATTTGCTCTATTAAAAGCAGATATGTGCTTACTGTAAAAATAAAGAAGAAAAAATATGATCAAATATAAACATATTTTAAGTGCTTTTTATGTATAATGAAGATGTGCTTCTAATATAGTAAATACAGTGTTCCTTAGTTGTACTTCATGCCTCCAATACCTTTAGCGTACAGGGGTTCTTTCTAAGATTCCTTTGATCTTTTTTTTAAATGTCCCTTAGTATTGTAAATGCTGATACTCTGAATCAAATTGTTTTCAAAAATAAAAGCTATATTATTAGTTCTCCAATACTCTAAGCAAACTGGAACTATCTATGATTTTTCTTTAAATTGCCCACTCATGTTGCTCAGTGACTCAAAACTGTCGCTCCAAATTTTTCACCTCGAATAATGATTGCGTTGTGTTCAAACAGACGAAGGATCATCGGCTGCTCAAGCTGTTATTCTGATTGAGAGTACAGACAGTGGTGAGCTAGACCAACCAGCAACAACTACCATTTACCAAACAGTCAACGATGACACACACAGAGTATTACAACTAGAGAAGCAAATAGCTCAGCTCCAAGCTGACAAGCTGGAATCAGAAAAACAGCTGAAAACTGAAATTCAGAAGCTTAGAGATCAGGTATGTTGACAGACTAATTAGAGACAACATGTCTGGAACAGTATCTGGGTTTACCCGTACCTATATTATGATGGCCTATTGTGGCTTGGCTTACTTACCTATTTTATCTTGCATATACTCCCTTTAACAGCTACATGTATTGTAAACCACTTTAACAAATATTTTTTTTTGTCTATGCAAGGTAAAAACTATCCCAACAGAGAATATAGTATGAATTTCAAAACATGCATGGTGCATTCCTGCATCAAACTTACATTTCATCAATCTGCTTTTACAAAAGTAACACTAGTCATTTTGTTTACATGTGTAACACTTCATGTTACAATGATGAACAAAATTAAAAAGAAAATTGTACTCACCACAATAAGAAAATATTGATGACAATAAAGTGGAAATAAATTGTTTTGCCTGTTTTAGTACTTTTTTTACCACTGTTTTTTTATGGTAATGATATATCGCAATATCTCAAAAATTTAGTTTGTAACATATGGTGAAAAAAATGATGTATAGTTTCTTACAATGTTGCACTTGTGCTTGTCTAGAAGTGAATTCAATTTAAGTTTTCATGCTGTTTGACTAATACTAATTTAAAAATAATTATGTACAGATTTTGACATGAAATGTTGCCACTCCAATATAGGCTAATATATGTGCACATGTCAAAAGCACATGTGTACCATATTGTACTGTAACTTCATTCACTGCGAGATTTCATGTTTTGTATGAAAAGGTACAGACCGAATTAAAGTTTGCTACAAAAATTGGTTAATGAAATTTTGAACATAAATTGAGATACCCCATTACGTCATCAAAATTGTTCCTCATAAAAAGGTTGCACATTATCAAGCATGGAAATCCTAAAAAATAGTTTTACTTTTGTTGGATTCCAATTGACACCACTACGATGCTATGACCTTTTTGTACTGTTTTATGTTTAATTTCAAACATAATCCAGGATTTTGCAGTGAACAGAATACAGTCTTTTGGTATGCCAGCTTTTTGTTTGAAGAGTCATTTTGTATCTTTGACAGGTGCAGCATCTGAACAATACAAATAGTATCCTACAACAACAAATCCAGGCTTTGAGGAGTGCCTCGTTGCAGCGTCTTACGATGGATGCCCAGGCAGATATACAACATATGATTAGCAACATGGAACACGAACACAGCAACTTACTGCATCATCATTTAGCCCAACTCAGACAATACTACCACAGCATGTCTAGTAGTGAATCTGACAACTATGTCCATCCTGTTATGATCTCTGATCAGACTATACAGCAGATTGTTGTGTCCACGCAGTCGGGATCGTCAACAGATGTTGACTCTGATTCCGTCAACACAACTGTTGGGGACTTATGCCAGGATGCTACCACGGTTGTGATACCACAGGGAAATGGTAATTATATTGTGCACCAAGAAAAGAATGATAAATCACAGTCGAAGGATATCAACGTGGAAATAGCCGACAAACATTATGTGCAGGATAAAGACAACAGTACAAACGAGTCAGACACTGATGTGGTACACATAGCGAAACGACGAAAAGAGTTCTAGTTCACTGGTTCATATTTAGCAGTCCATTGCTTAAGGGCTGGTAAGTGCAGTGATGTCCAACAAGATCCCAGTGAAGTTACATACGGTAGATAAACAGTAACCATCGCATGAATTTTTAATACATCTACAGATTGGATATTTAATTTTTTTTTATAAAATTCAAAGTCATCCCGAGTGTGTTACACTTGTTGCAAATTCATGAGTTGGATATGTATTGCATTGCACAGTAAAACTTATTTTTTTGTGTGGTTAGCTCACCTGGAAAAAATCTGCTCAACATTGAAATGAAGAAACTTTTTTTGTGTGTGTATATCAAGTCTCAAGCCAGATTTAGCGTATACTTCTTATTCACAAGAGATGATTTCAAGTGCAATTGGATAGGTAAACTGTGTTACGAGTGTTGGCTGACAGGCAATAAAATAGCAGGCTGATTCTAGTCAGTAGTACTGAGTGATAACATGTAATCCTTGGGTGAAGGTGTCTTCATATGAGTGCCAAAGCCATTCATACATAGCCATTAAAAACTGGAAATACTACTGATTGCATGTATGTTATTGACAATGACTTGTTGAAGTTAAATACAGAATTTTCATCAGCATACTACTAACATACATTGTAATATGAATCCACTCTTGTATAATGACACAAAAATCTATTTATATAAATTTGCTGAATGGCTAAAACTAGAAACTAGCCATTTCAAGTGATATTACAACAGACTGCGATGTTCTCTACAATTTGCATACATTAACATAAATTAGCATATTTATGGACACATTTGTAAATTGGTATGCTAAATTTGTATGAAAACTTTTATACAAGTTATTGCATGGAATGATTGTAAACACTACTTTTTATGTACTGATAGAACACCGACTTGAAATAAATATAGCCTGCCATTACATATCGTCCTTTAAGTCTGTTTTGTTTGACAGGATGTACACACATTTTTCAAAATGTGCCCTATAGTTAGAGTGCATATCATTTAAATTCCTGGCGCCAAAAAAAAGGAGAGGGGGTATTTTTTTCATTCCTTTATTTTTCTGTTCCAAAAATGTAGATATAAATTGAAAAAATGTACGTTTCTGTATGCTGTATTTTCTAAAGACTGATTTAGTGTTTTTTGCTAGTAACTAACTTGTTTAGCTACACTGGCTAATATTATGATAATGTTCTTTCCCAGTAATTAACTTGTTTAGCTACATTGGCTAATATTATGATAATGTTCCTTCCCAGTAACTAACTTGTTTTAATAGCTACACTGGCTAATATTATGATAATGTTCTTTGCAAGTAATTAACTTGTTTTCCCAAAGCATGATTTTTCCCATCCAAAGAATCATTTTTTGTTCCAGTTATTTTGTCAAATTCCAAGCAAGCAAATTTTCATTCCATTTGGATGCAAATTTAAAAACTGGGACTTTTGGATCGACTGCGCATGCATCCCACACCCTCAGAAATGCCATCATGTCTTGCGTATCTACACGTATTTGTTTGATGATCCAAATTAAAATAGCTGAAAGGTGGCCATTTTTGTGCTAAAATTTATCAAAATCAAGAATTTCCAATAGTCTTTTGGTTGCCGTTGTTTCATGATCCAATTCAAGATAGCTGAACGCTGGCTTATTAAAATGCATTAAAATCGAGCATTTCTGGTTAGTCGTATATGGACAGCTATCTTTAAACTTGGTACATCATGGAACCTTGAAGTATGCAATTTTTTCTGAGCCACATCTCTTGATATGGTTTGACCAATGCTACACATACTAGCACATTCGTTTCAAGTTCTGATTTAAAATGGCCAACTTGGGTGTTTGCTATTGAACGAAAGACTACCATGTGTCATTTATTAGTGGCCTGGTCTAAGTACAAAATTCTTTGACTTCTTGATTAGATATGGATATCTAGAGTAATGAAAAACGCAACACATTTAATTTAAGTAATATTTATATTTCTTTCTATAATGAACATCTAAAAAAGTTCACATTACAAAATATGTATTGTGGCAAATTAACGGTCAGTTTTGGGTCAGTGATGATTTATGAATTCACGATATCAGTATAGATAGAACTAATGACAGCTCAAAGTGTATGCAATCTCTAGTAGACCAACAGTTCAGTAAAATACTTGTACAAGTCTGGTTACACTTAACGTTTTTACCATCAGACTTCTTTGCCCAATTTGTTTAGCACTTTTTTTTTCTTCAATATTACTAGAATTGAACCCTAATTTTGGAACAGACAGACAAAATTTTAATAAATTTTCAGTTTTTACTATAAACTAGAGTATTTTGTGATTTTTTTTGATGAAGAAGGAACTGGTGGCGTAAAGGTTAATTACAGGCACTTAAATAAGCAAATTATCAAAAGAATATGGCACAAGTACATTCCACAGACATGAAATCTGATATTACAGTCATCCCGATGTAGGATCCCCAATTAGACAGCATTTATATAATTATCAAATTGTAACATTTTGTTCTCACATGACAGCCTGTGTATTGCTTTTCTATTATTAAGCAGATAAGGTTTAATAGTGGTACACATTTTCAACAAGACCAATGCAAGTACTGCGGTACAAACCTGCGACACTGAAATATTTGTTCATGAGCTGCTATAAATACATGTAGCGTGTAACATTTTATTGGAAATGCTACTACATGTATTTAGTACTCTCAGTGAAGGTATAAACAAGTGTGTAGTATATGACAGATATTTAAATCATGGACAAATACAGGGAGTTGGTTCTATGCACTATTGAGCATAGAATTGACTTGTATATGTTTGCTCTTGGACTTCAAGAAATAAAACGCCATAATTACACATTTAATAATAGATATGTAAAAGTGAATGAACTTGCACTAAGTACTGAACAAAGATTGAGGAATATTTTTGAAAATGGACGGTGACTAGTTTTTTGCCTTGAAGTACATTTATCATTAATTTTGGCACTATTTGACAACTGCAAAGACAACTATTTCCTTGTTTAACATGCCACTTCTTCCTTTACACAGTTGCTTGTAACAGAAACAACTTTTATCACACATCAGGATATTGTCATTTTGCGCTGTGTTCCTTATTTCTGATACACAGAGGAGCTGACAGTTTGATATGTTATATTTGTCTGTTATAAGCAACTGATGTTACCAGCTCGAGCACACCCCAAGGTTGGGTATATGATCACCAAGCTCATGAATGGCGCTCTCAATGTCAGCCTTGGTGAACTATGAAAGCCACAAGTTTCCACAATGTATTACTGTAAAATATATTTTGGCTAGAATTAATTTTCGCTGAAAAGGCTTTTTGGGTGTTATGTATGGAATTTATTTTCACTGATTTTTGATGAGTTGAATGTAAAATATAAGAAAAAAGGTATATTCGCTGAATCAGTAAAAATAAATTCCAATCGAAAAAAAGTATTTTACAGTAATCACTTTAAAATGCGCCCTCTACAGGCAGTAATGTAACAAGTATGAATTGTTAGCATACATTAGCATGCATAAAAATTCTACAATTGTTGCGTATACAACGAAAACTGACTATGGTTTGTGACCACACTTAAAAAGAATACCAATTACTCCACAAACACTACATGATAGCTTACTCGGCAAATATATTTTCATTGGTCATTATTTCCTTGTACATAGTATATGAATGTACCGTAATAAAATCAGCCACTAATGTGACATACCTGACAATGAACTGCAGTCACACTGATTAGCATCTACAGTTGCAAATAATTATTTTTAATTACACACAATAACGTGTTTCAATTGAAATAATAAAATAAAGTGTTACTTAAGGTAATATATTTAATATTACCATACATGACAATAAATTTCTCAAGTCGGGGGGAAAAAATGATTTATTTATGATCAGCATGCACAGCAGTTCAAGATGAAACTCATGATTTTTTTTTTTTCTGGTTTCTGACAAAAACAACCAAAAACAATTTTTTTTTTCAGCATGAAATACAATATGAACCATTTCACACATTACAATTATCTTCTTGGCAAAAAACTTTATTAGCAAGTACAATTTTAACATTGAATTATCTGTGCCTGTATTACAGCTAAATCTGTCCAAAGCATGCAAGATTTTATAGAGATTAAATTGATTTTAAAAACATTTATTAAAGTAAAGTTGATATATGAATGAAAGACGACTGTGCAAGTAATCATACATTTCATTAACCCTTTATCCACCAAAAATTGGTGCAACATTTCACATATTTGATAATTTTTAAACCAAATTCACATTGGCAACACTTGTGATCTTATATATGCAAGTTTATTCTATGAAAGGTGACAAATGATGTCCACAGGTAACGAGAAAATATCAATTACTACCTGTATATATCACGCATCAAGTTGTCAGTGTAATGTAATAGAAAAGTGATAAAATTCAGGATGCAAATTTTCAGATCACCGTACAGCCTTTATAATAATAAAGTAATACTAGGACAAAGGAGTGAATTAAGTCGAAAGAAAGTGATTGAACCAAACAACATAAGTTCTATTTGAAAAATATTGTCATTAATAAGTATTATACATCTGTCACCGTAACGCCATAAGTTACAGCATGCCGTAATTTTGCGGTATTTTATGGGGTATTTTCATCTTACCATATTAGGAAATGCGATTTCCAAATATGGAATGATTACACGCGTAAGCATCCTCTATTAATAAAAAACAAACATGGCTGCCACCAGAGTTTGACCGGACTACACACAAACGTTCGCTGATTCTGTTCAAAACATTTTGAATTTCAGCATCCCTGTGGTGTATCCTTGGATGGAAAAGATGTATAATAATAAGGTTATGCACTCAGACAGTATGCCTTGCATTGACCTCCGCTGCGCATCGGTTGATACTCCAGCTGTACTGTCTTTGTGCATACTTTGAGGTATACTGAAGATTGCCATAAATCTAAAAAAAAAAATGAATGGCTGACTACAATGTACATACTAAATATAAAAGCATCTTGGCTAGTGATTTTGAAAACAAATTGAACCCCAAATAATAAAAAATGAGAATTCCAGTTGTCATCACAAAATTAAGAAATTCAATGAAATGTACCCCAATCTTGCTTGTGGGTTTCAAGAAGATGACAATTTAAATGACTGACACTACTTCGTAATGTTCAATGACAGCAGAGAAAAATATGTCATATTTATTTTCTCCACATTAAACTAAGCATGTAATATACAATACAAAATAGCCTCCCCCCCCCCCTCCTCCCCCAATTGAAAATCAGCACATTTTACTTAATAATTCATATAACAAACATCATTGCACTGTATACTGGTATATTTCTGTTAATAGCATAGACATATCTGAACATGTGCAAACCCAGTGTTGTCTGCATGCGAATAGCCAGCTGTGTGTGTTTTCTACATGTAAATATCCAGCTGTCTCAACGTTGTTTACATGTGCAAAGCAAGTTCTCTCAGTGCCATCTACACTGTCTTCCTGTGCATAGCTATCTGTCTTGGTGCCATTTACATGTGCAGAACC